ACCACCTGGGCAAGAATCCATATTTAAAGCATATTATTAAAACATGACCTAGGAAAGAACCATAAAAGGTGAGCATCTGTAACTTCCTAAAAGCAAACAACCCCAAACAAATAAACAACAACAAATAGAAACAAAAACAAACCTGTCTTGTAGCGATGCATTTCTAAAATAATAAGACCTCAGCAAAGAGTCTAAACCCCAAATCCCCAAGTGTGTGTGTGTGTGTGTGGTCAGGAACAGAACCCTGGCTGTCATGCACATTAGGCAAACACTCTACCACTGAACTACAAGTGCCTCTACTATCAACTCTTTAGTAACAAGAGCTGCAAACACTTTGTCTAACTGAGAAACATTTTCTATAGGTGGAACAAGTTCATGTAAGGTTATAAAGTCACACTATGTGCTGTAACTCTACCATAAAACTTCAGTGTTTTTTTTTTTTTCTGAACGTGGACCTTAGAATTCTACTAGTAATGATTAGAATACCATGGAGTCCACTAAAACCAGGTCAATGCATATAAATACTTACAAAAGCAATATAGCTTATGGCTACTCTGCATCCAGGTCTTACAAATTAAGTTAAAAGGCAAAATGCCTAGGCAAAGTCAACAAAGTACATAGCAATAGTTAGAGAAGTGCACTTTGGTGCACATGGAACAGAGAAATTTAATGAGTGAAATTTGTTATTTATATAGGAATAATTAGTCCAATGGTTTCTACTTCTATAAAAAGAGATCCAAATTATGCTAAGGGGAAATGCCATAAACAGTGTATATGGTATAATGCATTCTGTATTAAAAAAGATAATATATGTGTACTTATTGGCATATACATTAATAAACTATACAAAGAGATAGAGAACAGAATAAGCACAGGTGGCAAGACAACTGAGAATGTTTCAATATAAATTTAAGAATATTTTCATATATATTTAGCATTTTTTTTTGTTTGTTTTTGAGACAGGGTTTCTCCGTAGCTTTTGGTTCCTGTCCTGGAACTAGCTCTTGTAGACCAGGCTGGCCTCGAACTCACAGAGATCCGCCTGCCTCTGCCTCCCGAGTGCTGGGATTAAAGGCGTGCGCCACCACCGCCTGGCTATATTTAGCATTTTTGATGACTTAATATATACTTATTTACTGAACAAAGGCTATAAGCTCTAGAACTGACAAGTATAGCTATATGGCAGAAACTGAGCAACAGATCATTTGAACCACCTAATATAAACTACACAGACTATATCTTTAATAATACTAAGAATTGGGTAAAAGAAATCTGAGGTCTTGGTAAGGAAGCTGGCCTACCTCCACATAGAAGTGGTAGTCTGTGGTCTTAGGCTTGTGTAACCATCTAAAGTAATTCCACAAATGGGTAACAAATAGAATTAACAACATAATTGAAAGTAATAACCATTAAAAAGATATAGTATCAGAATATCAGAAAGGTAAAAGAATAGTGATCAGAAAGGGCTGGAGAGATGGCTCAGATAACTGGACCAGGATTCAAATCTCAGCACCTACATGGCAACTCACAACTGCAAGGATTATATACATTAGTGACTAACTCTGAGTACCAGTAATGCATCGGTGTCACATTGAAGAAAGAAAGAAAAGCACTTCTCCTTGGAGCCATTTAACAAAGAGCAAGTCCAGATTTGAATTCCCTACTTCATGCCCCCATGTCTTCTGTTGCATAAATGTGAATATATGCCTACATCTGTACCTGTGTCTGTCCCTCACAAAGGGTTTATTCTGTATGTACTGAACAGCACAGAAAGCATCACATGGGGAAGGAAAGGAATTCTTTACAGAAATCTCTAGTAGTCTTACAAGGCTTAAGTCATGGGTTCTTACTAATCTAACTGTCCCAAATAACAAACATCATCATTTATCAACCAATATCCATAAATGTTGTTTTCGAGACAGGGTTTCTCTGTGTAATTCCCAAAGATTTCTTGCCTCTGCCTCCCCAGGGCTGACACTAAAGGCATACACCAGCATTGCCTAGCTATTTTCAACTTTTATGGTAGGTTTTAGAAGGTTGCTTCAACT